TTAGAACAAATCCCTCTATTCATTAAGAGAATGTAACTATATATCTATCCTAACCACTTTGAATACACAGATACAAAATGGACATTCATCTGTATCCTCTTTTTTTGTTAAGTTCTGTTATTTGAATATTATAGGTCACACACCATGATTTAAAGAAAAAAAAAATATTACTAAGGTTACCCATAGATTATCATGTCAGCAAATTTAAAAATCATAAGTATATAGATATAGAGACATCGATAGTGATAGAAACAGTTAAATGACCAGTGACAGAGACATACTGAATCATCACTATAACCACATTGCTGCAGTGCTATAATCAAGTGAGCCAGCTTCACAACAAATTAAGTTTAGATATTCTCAGAAATTTAAAGCTAGTCAACATTCACCGAACATAATAGGAAAATCTGGATAAACATATGTCTAACATCCTAGCCAAGGTAACTACTGAAAATTACTGACTTTTACTTTAGCACGAGAATCACATCTATAGGGATATATCTGCCAAGTTAATTATTTTCTTCATGGTTGGTGAAAGTAATTCTTTTTTGGTTAAAAATATATATGAGAAGATTTTCTGGTTTACAACAAGGTCAAAATTTAAGGAATGAAGACTCTATAATACTTGGAGTAATGTAGCATAGAGAATAATGTGGACTCCTACCTGCGTTTTCCTTTGTGTACAATTTTCCTTCCTTGAGCTGGTCATTTCTGGTTACCATGACTGTGTCTCCATTTCTTCAAGAGCTGTGGGGCTCTCACATGGAGAATATAAGATGCAATACAAGCTGTTCCTTGCTCCTGGGTTCAGGGGAAAACTCTGCAGACAGCAGTGCTTAGCATGAGAGGAGAAGTTAGGATGGGGAAAATTGTGGCCCATGTCACACTTGAGCACTGAATTTATGGACTTTGGCCAAGTAGAATTTGTGTGATATTGACAAATTCTGTTAGAGGAGTGTGAGCATTTAAAGCTCCATATTTAATGCACAATATTTTACACCTGTTTAAAAACACACTAAGATTTTTAATAAAATATTTTCATTACAATGACATTGTAGATTATCAGTAGAGTAGATCCAGATGCTGTCAGGAATTCTAGTTCAGAAAGAGAATCCAGATATTCAGGGAGAGAACAGAAATTAGTCCTAAAGCTGTATGCAACTAATTGATTGTAATTAAACTATATAGTAATTTTCAATTATAAATTAGAATTTATTTACCAGGGAAAGTCTGTGTATGAGTTAAAGTATGCAGTAAGTTAACTTTTTTTTATTAGCTGAGTTTCTCACCAATTCTACTTTGTTTTGTGGCTGTCTTTCATATGAAGACTGTCTGTCATTTTTTTGGTTAGAAAGAATGTTTAACGAAGCTTTTGGTTTTAACATTACAAAATTTGTCTTCACAAAGACTTTATTTTAAAAATTTAAATAAAGTTTCATTTCATTCTGTATACTCATAATTCCTCAGATAATTAGTATCTACTCTGTGTACTTTTCTGAAGCATTTGTGTAAGGATGGATCACTTATGAGTTTCTTTATGTAAGAGCATCATCAGAGGACGATTATCACTTTGAAATATGTAAGTAAATAGTTGGAGTGGTAAGAATCCAAGATGAATCAAAGAATTTCTTCCATGATTCCAAGAAATATAATGAGGACTCTCTTATTGCAGTCATATTTTTATGCATTTAGAAAATCCCTAAATCTCCCTACAATATTTTAAATTATTCAGGAGAATCTTTGACTAAACAGGTTCCATTTCTAAGGGCTTCTGACATTTGACTTTCATTAGACTTATATGGGTATAGTGGTAAAGTTCTACCTGAAATTTTTGGTATGAATTTTTCTAGTAGTATTCAAAATGAAAATAAATTATTTCATACATCTGGTATTAGCACTATCTGTCTATTTTCTGTCATCAAAGGGATATTTCAATTTCTCTTTCCACCATGCCCATATTCCCTATTTGTGCAAAGGTACCATGTATTTTAAATTAAATACCAATTGGTATTTATGACTATTTTCCACTGCTGAGTCATGTAGTAATCATCACACAGTGCTTTACCTCTGTGCATCTTTAGTTCTTTCTCTAAAATGTTTCTGAAATCTGAGCACTTTCTGTACCTCTCCTGGATCATCCTCTTCCCTAAGCAACATTAGCTCACAAAGCCAGGTACTTAAGTAACCCCAGCTGGTCTTTCTGCTTGTACATTTTTTCCTCTCTCAGGGAGGGGAATCAATTTCCTTCTTTTACTTGACATTTTTCTGAACAACTACCCCCTAGTATTGTCACATTTTCATAGGAAGATAACGCCCATGTCCTAAAACACACTGCTCCATTTCCTCCCGGAGGCCACCCTCATAGGTCTTTCCTACCTTAGCACTGCTGGCACTTCCTTAGGCCTCCACCATGGTCCTTCTCTAGGATACCACTGTGAATCACCCGGATGCTCACTGGACTGCTCTCTTGTGCTGGAACCTCACTGTCCTTGATCCCTTTGTTTCCTCTGTCTTGCTGCAGTCTCCTGAGTTAGTGTTGCACCTTAATCTTTCCTGTGAAAGCAAACCATAAGGAAGGTTTCAAAGTCCTAGGCTATAAGGGAAAACATCCTGTGTAATTCTGAAGCTAATTTTCACAAAGCTCTTCTCATTTCTGGTATTGCTTTTAATTCTACTGCTAACACACAATATATATTAACATTAATCAGTTCCACTCATCACTGTCCCCCTTTCTCTAGAGGCTTTTAATATCATCACTATCATTTAGGTTCTCGAAGAACACAAGGCTTTTTAAATGAATTTTCCATTTATTGAGGTAGTCAATAAAGTCTACAGACTGCTGCCTCCACTGTTAACTCTTCACATTTTATCTAGCATTTTCTTATAGTTTCGTTACTCAAATATTGTGGCTCTCAAACCTGTGTTTCTTCACTAATATCAAATTTCCATCTCCTTACCCATTTCTACTTTTTACTTTGGCTCTGATTGCTTATTAGAGCTTCTTTGACTTTGTGCTTTTTTCACTCTGTATTGACATATTTTTAAATTTTTACATGCTTCTGATATACTAACACTCCCCCAAATTCCTTTTTCCCTGTTGCATGGATCTTTATAGATAATTTAACCCCCGCATTCTCTCTTCGGAAATTATGTAAGCAAGATATTTTCTTCAATAATGAGCCTCAGTTTAAGAATACGGCAGGGAAGCCAGCTTTTCATTTGTGGAATCCAACTCTTTTATCTGGGGGTAAATGTCTGAGACAGTCTGATTGCTTCAGAGAAGACCTCCTGGCTTTCTGACAAGTGAATAAAATCAAGGCTACTTGTTTCCCTGAAACTGATCAGTGTATAGTTTCTCCCCCTTTATCTTCTAGGCTTCAGCTATGATATGGTTGATACCTCAAGGGTGGTGAGGTTTTTTTATCTCCAGAGATCAATATTTTAATTCTGTAGAGCTGGATGACAAGTGTACTCTGGAATCTACATAGATCTTGCTATGGTTTTTCTCAGCCTTTTCTTATTTTACTTCAAGATGCCACATAGCTGAGTTATGAACCTGCTACAGCTTCTACCAGAGAAAACAGGCACTGGTTTGTGTTCTAGTTATGTTCCAGGCATCTGAGTTGTGCTCCTAATAGTATGCCATATGAATTTACATTTCTTTTTTTAAATTACATCTTTCACACACCAAAAATTCTGTTCATTTCATCTTCTAGCCTTGTATATATATATATCTTTTGTCTTAAAATTCAAATAATATTTCATGAGCAAATATTGTTTGCTGTCGTAAATATTGTGTATTTAATCAGTCACCCCCTGTTAGCTAAATTAATACCTGTATTTCAAATATAGGTGTCTTATTTTTTTCGTAAGTTGGACAAAATACTTCAGACCCAGAAGTTAAAGGGGAAAAGTTTATTTTAGTTCATGTTTTCTAGAATTTTCAATTAAGAGCTACGTGTCTCAAAAGCAAGGTGCCATCATAGAGGAGGTGAGAGGATGAATGGTGCATGACACAGCAGGCAAGAAGCGACAAGACTCTTAACTCCTCACTTTATATTCAATTCAGGGTACAAGCCTATTTGTGAGTGTTCCCCACACACACGTGGCCTCTTCTGTCTCCACTGTCTGCCATCCCTACCCATGTTAACTATGCTAATCAACCACACAAAACTATGCTGTGCCATTCAGTGGACTACTCTAGTAACATGCACATGGATGACACAGTCACCTGACGAAAGTTCCATGCATTAGCACAAGACATGTTGAGGTCATAAGCAATAAAAGGTGTGCTTAAATTCAATATATTTAATGGTGTTAATTTAACTCTTAAAAACTTTTACTTCTAATATGTTAAGGCTTCTGTTAACTCACTGGTTTTGAATGATTTGTTTGAGCAATGAGAAAGTCAAGATAGATTATCGCATAGAGAGTGCAGTTATCATGAGGGGGCTGCTAGAACATATGCTATGGAAGCCTTTACAACTGGGGTGCAGGAGGTCTGAAAAGCTTAGGAGCTGCCAGCAGGAGAAGCAATTTTGGAATGAAATGAGCCACTGTCAATGAGAGATTTTGTTTAGGACTCAGAGGAGCAGAACATTGGCTGCCATGTTGTTGGAAACACCAGGATTAAGAAATTTCAATTGGGAAAAGACTCCAGGGCTGGTGAGATGGCTCAGTGGTCTAAAACACCTATTTAGAACAAGATAGGCCAAGCAAAGCACAGAGACCGCAGTTTGATCCCCCAGCACCACATGCCAGCCAGCCCCACCCCCTGGTGGGCTGAGCTGGCCACACACACACAAAATAAATCAACAAAATTAAAAAAAAGACTCCATTTGCAATTGGACTTGAAACAATGCATGTTATGTTTTGCCAGAAAAGTTTTCTGCATCTTGCTCATGTCCAGAGACACTGGCAGAGGCTGAGATTAAGTGTACTGAATTAACTATTCTGGTGGAAGGAATTTTACAGCAGTTTAATATTCAGGTATTAGAATGGATAAGGTTGGAGCATTCAGCTAGATCTGTGTTGAGAATCAAGATAAAAGTATACAGAAGAATGATTTCAAACATTTTGAGTCTATCCAGATAGAAAACTTGTTGACCTGGAAAGATGGAACAAAAGACAACATGAATGCTGAACAATGAGCTAAAGACTAGCCAAGTACTTTGGAAGAGGATAACAGTAAGATGGCCTATAGGTATCACAAGAACCAGCTCAAACTCTATGGGCAATACAAATGCCTTGAGAAGAAAGCCTAAGTTCCAGAGACACAGATGATCCCAACTCAAGTACTGTCCTGGACAGTAACGTTCTGTGACCTGTGTCCTGCATTGTCACTGGAATGTTGCAGGCTGAGTATTCTGCTTTAGACTTTATTTGCTAAATCCGTCATAGACTGTTCATCATGTTGATAGAGGCCCTAATTATCTCACTGCTAACCTCTGGTTTATTTTGGTGGTAATTGTGTGTCTGTCCAAGACTTTTAGCGGTTGTGTTTGTCTATTTTTTCTCTCTGTGTCCCACACTGTGACATGGTTCATAATGCCTGTACACATTCTTAAATGGAGACACATACACACACACACACACAC